TGAAGAAAACTACTTTTCTGACACTTATTTTCTCATTTAAATTATCATTATGACTGTTTTTATCATATTATCAATTGTTATAAATATACCTTCTATTCCTAGTATCTGATTCAAACCATCTTCAGTGTACGACATTGCATTGTCATGGACAGAAACCATCAAGTGTACAACCCCATTTCCAAAACCTTTTCCTAAAGGTGTCAGGACCCCTAAAACTCTTTGAGCGCTCGTCGAAATAAACGTGATGCACTTGTTTACGTCTTTAGCCATGTCGTGAGTACAGTAATCTCGAACAGTAGCAACAGTGACGGTCAACATATTCAAGATTTGAGGAAGAACATGATTCACAGCTCTTGAAACGTTTGTTGATACTTCGTGGAAGTTATTGAGAGTATAGTARACTGACACTGACACTAATATGTAGAAAATGCTCTTCAGGAAACCCATTGTAGTTCACAAACATTAAAATTCAGTAAGGATACSTGTACAAATAGTCGAGGTTTGCATACAAAGTTTTGACAAAAACAATTCTGAATTATCGGAAACTTCGCTCTGGCTGAAATTATATTGCAGGTCACTGGAAATTAAGMTTACTTTATCACCGTAAACTGTTCCATTCCTTCCACAGTTTGCAGTATATCAAGCTCCTTCCGTACCAAGCAGCTCGCAAGCTTTCTAATGCGTTTCCCGCCAAACAAGTAAATTCCCTCGAGAATCAAAAATCGTCAGAAATGAAGTTCGTTGTCTTGCACATGCTTTGCCACAGCAAAAACACCAAATTACATGGTTCATCAATTGTCTAATAAATAAACATTAAAGGAAAATTCACTTCATCAAGCTGCAAATCCTTTTAAAGTGCGTCAAATGGTCACCTGCCGATAAATTCGTTTAGTAAACAAAATACACGAAAATTGGAACTTTTTCAAATCACCCGCCATATTGGACGGGAATGCTATAAAAGACTGGAACTAATTGCAAAACCACTGCACGTGACAATCGCGGGCGAATGTTGACAGATTCTTCCTCCCAAACAGAAAGACATGACATGAGAAGAATGAACAAAAAATCGCGAAATATTCTCCTTTCATGAATTTTTTTGATGATGTGAAAGCTTGAAGTAATGATTTAAATGTCGGTGTCCCTTGTGGTGTTCAGACTTGAACTTGCGGATGGATGCGTTCCTCCCATTGATCTAGAATTCTGTGGTAGGTTTTTTTCGATTTTCTACTTTTCTGAAATTATTTTCTTAASCGAAWAGGACAAATTATATGTCATTGATATACATTGCATTAAACTTTTAGTCAAATTGCAGGATTTCATAGAATTATTTGAATTGTACGTACAAGAAAAAAACCATCAAAGGCATCATTTTTGCCAAGTCATTAAGTATTGCTCAGTTTTTTGTATATTTTTTCGGAAATTTACTTAAATATTTGAATAAGGAATGATTTTCATTTTCAATATAAGTTTGATCATTTGCTTTCTCTTTTTGTTTCCTTCGCAATGTTTAAGCATCTGGTTTCCAAATCAGTCATAAAATGTCATCAGCAAAAAAAGGTACTGATAAAACATCATTACAAACTAATCAACCAGAAGAGCATGAGGAACAGAGAGATAGTGGCCCAGTACCTGAAGAAATACAGAGACTTCATCGAGGACAAAGAGAACTTAACAGTCTGACAATAGAAACAGTACAACAAGGTACAACAACTTAACAAGGGTAGTCAAGTAACTTAAAAGTTTTGCTGGATGCAATGCAGGGTGCATTTAATTCACTGCAGCATGATTCCAAATTATATGGGATTACAGTATTGAGGATTGCCCTTAGAGGGACACTGTCAATGGATGACATGCGCAGTAACAGTCTCACCTCAAACGGACTTTGAAAATATAACCTTCGAGGTAAATCATTTTGTGGTGCTTTTGACACACTTTGGAATATTCTAGATCTGTTTACGTTTACGATCTGATTTATGTTGCGCCAACTTGGAGTCATAAACTTGAAAACACTAGCCTAGTGTTTTCAAGTTTACTTGCGCATGTCATCCATTGACAGTGTCCCTTTAACGATATGTATAATTAGATATTTTCAAAAGGTAAAAAGTTAATAGGTTATGATTGACAGGAGAAAAAAGAAACTCTGACGCAGATTCATCCACTAGAGATAAGACAGGGGGTACTGTAATAGATGACTCATCGCAATGGCTGGGAAAAATAGGRTTCTTTTCTGGGAATCCAACAGTGGAAACTGTGAATGGAATTCTTCACATTTACAAAAACAAGTAAATATARTATAATTTCTGATCATCATCATCATCATATCTCCTTGTGCCAGTAGGCGGATAAGGCGTTCACTTTTCAGCCATCTCTATCTCTTGCTGCCATTTTAGCTTCATTCCAAGTCTTCCATTCTGCATTGTCCCTTTCTTCAGTACAAGTAGTCTTTGGTCTTACCCTTGCTCTTCTACCTTCTAGTGTCCAATAATTTCTGATAGTAAATTACATGTACATGTGTTCTCACAAAATATTGATAAATTTTCAATTTGACTTCTTACAGTGAAATGACATCCCTTGCAAAAGGAATTTCAAGAAGTCAGACAATCTGCATGCTTGGAGTACCTGCAAAACTTGCCTGTATTGATTTGCTACAATTYGTGGCYCCATCAGAGTATGTATCACAAATTTTAGGATTTTRGAATATCTKTGGCTCCCRGCTTATCATGGCTATGTATTTTGATCATAATGATTGTAATCTTRGCGTAATGTTTTAAATTTACAGGGAATACATAGAGCAAATAAAGATCATTAGAGATACCACGCCTAATCAGTACATGGCTTTGATTAAATTTAAAGACCAGGTACTTGAAAAAGCTATGCTACCAAATAAAACCAGTGAAGAAAGCTTTTGTGATTAACAGCAAGCCCATTGAAGTGACTTTCTTGCAAAACTGTTTTTTTAGGAACTTGCAGATGAGTTTTATAACACATACAATGGACAACCTTACAACTCATTTGAAGAGGAGGTAATAGTGTGAATAGTGATGTATACTGTTAATTATTCTGTGTAGTTTTAAATGATCCCAGCAATGTTGACGGCTGATGTTCTCAATAGGCCAACCTCTAAGATCTCATTTCACTTTGTGAAATAATTAAGTATCATATGTTAAATACTTTTAGGATTGTTRTGAATTATTGAAATCAGAGTATTGACAAATCTTTAATTAGCTTCAAGTCATTACAAATTAATGAAATGTTTTTGATTATAGGTTTGTCATTTGGTTTATGTTGCTAAAGTAGAGATAATGAAGTCATCAGAGGTAAAGTTTGACATTCTTCATGACTGAATCAATGTACATTGTTCTTTATCAATAWTAATAAATRTATCTTACATGTAAATGATTGTTCRTTTTCAATTTTTAAYAGGGAGCCAGTCTACCAATTGCTGGTCTTACAGAGCTACCAAAATGTCCAGTTTGCTTAGAACGGATGGTATGTTTGCAGCAGGCCTGACTTGAGTATGTTTGTGATACTCCAGTTTGGGCTTAATTTGCCATGTTGCATTTTGCCATGTTGCATTTTAGTAAATTATTAAAACCTGCTGGCTGTGTTTTTGATTCTCAGGATGAGTCAGTTGAGGGTGTTCTTACCATATTGTGCAACCACTCATTCCATGGCAGCTGTTTGTCCAAATGGGATGATAGCAGGTACAGTGGTTTCTGTTYCATTTTTTAAACCTAATATGTAACATTTAATATAATTTGTAAATCAGAATGAAGGCAATTGAACAGAGATAACACTACCAAATATTTAATAAATGATCTTTTGACACAGTATTGAATAATTTCTCTCAGTTAATAAACCTTTAAATTTTCGATAGCATTTTCAGAGAATAACAAGTGAACTTATTTGCAATGTTGCTATTTCTATTTTTTTGAATGAAAGATTTTAGTTTACACTACTTAAAATAACTCTTCGATTGCTTTGCAATCTTCGAGTTAAAAAGGAATAGTATATGCATCTTTCCATCTCAATGCTATTGAGAAAAAGAATTAAAAAAATAAAGATCATGGCTAAATAGTTATTTTAGATAATTATGACCGCGTTTGTTCATCTTGCGTCTAGCTGTCCTGTATGTAGATATGTCCAGACTCCTGAACCAACWAGTGAAAATAAGTGTTTTATGTGTGATTCAACAGAGGTATGTGGTTAAAATCATTACACTAGATAGCCAAAATATCATTTAAGTTAATAAGTATTTGTTATTTGAAACAGTTACATGTAACAATAATGAAATGATGAGTTTTGTACAGGAAAAGTTTAAACAACGTACTTAACGTTTCGAATGCTGAATCAACGTACAGACTTGTTAAACTGCTAGCTACCTATTTTGTTATTTGTAGAGTTTATGGATCTGTCTGATATGTGGTCATGTTGGGTGTGGACGTTATGCAAGTTGCCATGCTTATGAGTAAGTGAATGTTTTCTAGCATTATCCTAAATACAACTTTCAGATTTGATTAATCATCTATTCTTTTCGATTTTCCCTATTTTTTTTTACAATATTTTATTCATTTATACTAGAGAGTAATGTACGTTTAGTGCTAACTTTGGTCTTGTGTACTTACAGACATTATAAAGAAACACAGCATACATATTCACTTGAACTTGGTACGCAACGTGTGTGGGACTACACTGGAGGTAGCCATGTTTTACATTTAATAATTTAATGCTATTTAACTTGTTATGGGTAATACGCGCGGCACGAAGATCTCTAGAATGAGTAGCGTGCGATACTAGTGTCGACATGGAAATTTCAGTTGGCATCCGCAAGKATTTAGGAAATAATTTTCGTCATTGTGCAAAAAWCTAAGTAATTCAAATTGACTACAGTATATTTGTTTGAGAATCTTCACTAGAACTAAGCGAGCAAAATCTCATATTTCGTAATAAAGTATTTTTTTAAACAAGGTAAACTTAATAATCATATTTTTTATTTTATTATGTATTGTAATGGGTATTTTCTTGTTGTTCACAGATAATTATGTACACCGGTTGATTCAAAATAAGACGGATGGTAAATTAGTCGAGTACGGACCAGGCAGGGACCAGGTATTGCAACATGTATGTGATAGTTTGGGTGGGGGACGGGGAAATTTGCCCGTGAATGGGAAGCAATAAGCCGCGAGTGCACCAAGGAAGGTTAGATAAGCATCAATCCAAATATGCTGGTGTTATTTTGCTGTTTTAAGCTGCMAAAAATGAGGTATTATCAAAGTATTTAATTTCATACATAATTATTGAAGCATTATACCATCTAGCGGTATAAACAATGTATAAAATGCAAATTTACGGAGTGCTATTTGAGTAAATAAAGGTTATGGAAGCAAGGAAACAAACGAAGAGCAAAAGTTCTGTGTTCTTCGCATGCCTGGCTACCCATATCTTCGAAATTAAGCGCAGTTTTTATCTAGCTTAATTTAGMTTTRTTTTAGTTGACCATAAAATTACACAATAATCATTTGTTTTGTTAGTTAGGCGATGAAGAGAAGCTGGATTCACTTACGCTAGAGGTACACGCCATTTGCTTGGTGTAGGGTTTATGTTGATTTTATAAATAACTCAATAACTTGCTAACGCATTTATCATAATGGTTAAATGAAGCGCGTTTCGTACCCTCAGAGTGAATTTGACATTGCGACCATATTATATGCAAGCATTACTAAAGGAATAGCAAAATAACTGTTGTAGAGTGCATTGAGGTCTGTATGGTAAACGATCATCCTCCATTGGTTACCCTGGGAAACCCGGGGCTTTTGGAGGCTGCGTTAARACGTATCCGCATCTAACGTCAATATTCGTACGTGTGTTTACGCGAAAAACGATCATCGTTTTGTTGAACTCTGTCTACGTGTAAATGGAGCTTGAGTTTGTTATAGTGGTCGAACTCTGGTGTCAAAGGAAATGTGAACGTTAGAATATGATCATGTAATTACACGATTGACAACATYCAGAATCAAGTTCGCTCTGATCGCCCCAAGGTAATCCGGAATCTGAATCCTGGGCTCCGGACATTTTAATACAAATTTGAAATCCGGAATCCCAGGATCTATGGACACAGGATCTTAAATTCAGCAGTTCTGGATTACCATTTATGAGACGAMACTGACGGACTGCTTACTCTTTTTGACAGTACACMTACCTTTTAACAAACCAACTAGAAAATCAGAGATTATACTTCCAAGAAAAGATTACGCAAATTGAAACTGAAGCTGCTGACCAGGTACCCGATTTTTTTGYATTTTGTGTTTGTTCAATTACTGCATAATAAGTAATGCAACACTGGCAATGCAAATAAAATTGTTGTTGTGCCACTGTAGACAGGTAGACAGTGTCACTTACAAGTTATGTGCGAAGCTGGAAGTTTCGTGTCCACAAGTATTTGAAGCGTTTTCTGAGGATTGCCCCGATCGTCGAACATTTGTGGAATGCAAGCCGTAAAAGTTCCAGCATCTTGTTAACAAGGGTTTKAGGAAACTATATCTTAATTGTAAAGTTTAATCGTTATTGTATTCCTATTTTTCACTGACTAGGTGAGCGCTATGGAGGAACGCTCCAAAAAGACTATGGAAGAATACCAGAAGCTGGAAGTAAAGCTTGTTGATGTGGAAAAAGAAAAGAAAGCATTCGAGAAAAAATATTCTCAGGTTAACAAACATCGAATCATTGAAGAATTGAATTGGACCAGGGTATTAATCTGAAATTTCTTGCAGGTTGTCACCAAAGTCGGGAAACTAGAGAACGATCTTAAAGAAGAACGCGAGGTATTGTTTAAGTTTTTGAAACGCGCGTTTTTCTATATCAACTTAATTGCCTTTGGTATCTCGACCAAAGACGCCAGTTCATTATTTTCTATCAAATTTGGCAGCTTGAAAGACAGCTATGTCTCAAACATATCGGTTCTTTCTGCATTTYTTGCATTTGTTTTGCGACTGTGAATTGCTATTTTAACAGCTTAACAAGTGTCTTCGCGACAATCAGAAATTATGGCACGACAAATTTTCAGTCATGGAAAAAAAGTTCAAGGAAACAGAGGCTCAATCTAAACAGGTTTGTGCCGGGAGTTCCCATTGTAGTCATTAATGTTATTCAGTTGTAAAGAAATAAAGGTATTCAAGAAAATAAACATCGTTCAACACCGCTCTACAGCATGCAACAAGTCCAACAAAGTTTAACGAATGTTGAAACAAGTGTTTTCATAAATTGCCAGATGTGCAGGTTTTAGAGCAGAGTCACTTGAACCATGAAATAGAAACTAAATATTTAGTAACTAATAGGCACTATTTAGACACTATCACTGAACGAGAACAGTACAAAGAGATTACTTTGATTGTTAAAGTGGTCCCTTGGGTATTGCTTATTGGATCAAATAAACTGTTCTGGTTCAGTGCTAATGACTATTAGAAACTAATAGTCCCTATTAGTTAGTACTTTTTGGTTTTTATTTCATGGTTCATGTGACTCTGCTCTATTGAATATCGTATGTTTACATAAAACAATTAATTGTACAATTTGTAGGAAATAAAAGAACTTCAAGAACAAATCAGTGATTTRATGCGTCACTTTGAAACCCAACAAGCCATTGCTTGTGCACCAGAGGACACTAGACAGGTAACATTTTGTACAATTATTGGGTCCAAACAACTGCAAAAAATATATCTGTCTTTAAAGTAGTGTTGATTAGACTCGCTACCTCAATAGAAAACAAAACATACTATCGATTTAGCCACTTGTTCATTCTCTTTTTCACTGGTTTTTGTTTGCATTCTACCCCTCCCTAGTTTCACATAATTTTGTACAATATACAATCTTTGAAATGCTGCAATTTTATACAAAAAAGCAACAACAACAAACAAACAAACAGAAAACAATCCTTTCACCTGGTTCAGTGTTGTATTGATGATTTTTGTTAAGATAAGGGATATAAAATCTACGCTACGTGGTTCCACTTGAGTTTTGATCATTTTCTGACGTCATTTTCATTGTCGATAAGTGTACAGACCATAGAAAAGCGATTTCGATTTGTTAATTTGAAATAAATATTATAGCTATTTCCAACAAAAAGGTAAGTGCTGAAATACAGATACTAGTAGTACATAGCRTCAGCCCTCTAATATATTTGCTTCCAGTGTTTGTATGTCTCTATGTCCTCTTACAATAAGTATAAGTTACAAAAGAAAAAAAGGGAAAAAACAGCACACAGTATAATTCATAGTCATTATCAAATCATGTTCTTTAAAAATTTTATATTATATAATACCAAAATAACCCAACAATATAGTTTTTATGTTTTCATGTTSTTCATATTTGCCACTAAGTTTCATAAGAGTTCTAACCTTTCACCTTTCAAAACCARGGTCCGTGCAGAGTATCAAAAACGAAATTTGAGGACTTTCCAAGGACCAAAATTGTATTTTCAAGGAACATCATAATCATGCTAATGGTACATTATTACCTCAAAACTTCACCCAAATGGAATAATTCAGAGATCGCTATAGCGCTTGGTGATAGAGATCCATCTTTTTCAAGGAGTTTTCAAAGACTCTTTAGAAATTTTCAAGGAGTTTCAAGTGCCCTTGAAAACGAGTTTTCAATTCAAGCACTTTTCAAGGATTTAAGGACCTGCACGGACCCTGCAAACATATAGAGTGATTGCACACAAACCATGCAACTGAACAAACTAAATAGTGCTATTTAGTTGTATTTTTTAGTATATCATRCATGCAGTACGCAAGTTAAACTGATTTGATACAAATGAAACTTTCAATACCATTGTGCTACGGGTCAACTCTTGGTACAAATTAGTACCACWTAGATTTTGTACAGTTGCATGGTTTAAGTGTTAATCACTCTAACTTTTAGTGTAATAGTCTCCTTCACGGTTACCTGCGCCATCTTGCAACCTGTGAATAATTGTCTGTAGGTGTGAAAGAAGGTTTCTATCATTGCATGCTCAACGGTTGTCTCGMTTCGATGCAAAGGCACGGCTATCTTTCAAGATGGTGCAGGTAACCGTGAAGGAGACTATTGCAAGCAAATTGTAATATAACTTTAACAATAGTTAAGTTCGATTGGAACTTTGTCTTGAAGGGAGCGCAAGGTCAGAAATTGCGATTTAGCCGCACCAAGAATGTTAGTATGATAAAGGAGAGTTGCATCGGGCCAGTTTCTTTCAAGTCGACGTATACAACATTCACATCGAAAGTTAAATCTATCCTTATACACGGCAGTGTGGCAGTAATATCTGTCACAATCAAATTTTCCCAAATGCTTGGCAGCACATTTGTAGACCTTCATTACAAGCTCACTACATGTTTTGGCATATTCTGCTAAATTACTCTCAAGTTCTCTAACCTTGTCTTCCATAGCTTTGCTTTTCTCCATACATAGTTTAAACTTTCCATGGAGAGTTGTATCAGCAAACCATTTGCTACTTTCTATGGTGTTAGTTGATAATTGCTTAGCAAGGTCYATGCACTTAGTTTTCACAACATCATTGAGGTCATATTGGTTAGCAACTTGGTAGAAATGTAGGCAGTTAAGTGGTGTTACACTTGAATTCATGAAATCAGTACAAAACCTTTTGAATCTGTYCATTTGGTATTCATCTGTGAGCTTGAGAAGGAATTCAAAGTTGTCATCTGTAAGAAATGATTTTACCGCCATTAGTAACAACATTTGAAAAAAATCATTGTAATCATAGGCAAATTTACAAAAGTTAGAAATCCAAGTCTTTCCTAGTGTCAGAGATGATACATAATGAGTCACAGTCCCCTCACAGTATTTACTTTATAATTATGAACTATTATTGTTAGGCATTACATTTAACTTCTCCAACAATTATTTTTGTTGTAATGCTCCATTTAAAATGTGTACATCTATTACTGAGGTAACTATTTTGCTCTTTAAGAATTTTAAGACTATTAAAAAATTGATAATAAATACTTTTGAGTCTGACCTGTAAAATTTGCAAAATTCTGACAAGTATCCCTCACTCTGTGTGTGGTGTATTAATGACCCCACTTTTTTKGCATAAAATAATGCAATGCTAGTATTTACGACCCATTTACATACATAAAATCAGAGCAGATACATAAAGGCAGAGCCCATAGAAATAATCCTGGATATATGCCCCCCAGATATCGGGAACATGTCACTTACTGGTAACAACAGAAGGTTTGTCTTCAGCATAAATTAACTTAAGAAGAACCTCAAACTCCTTTGCACTTTTTCCTGGTAATGATATCTCTGCAGCTCTTTTTTCTTGAAAGTCAGAGTTGAACATTGCATCAAACACTGGGGAACTCATTGATAATATGCACTTATGCACATGAAATTTATGTCCCTCAACATTGAGCACCAGGTCACTATGGTGCCATGGAGACTGAAAGGCAAGGTCTGTGTTTGTAGTGTCTTCAAGTTTGGCACATTTGGCCTTTGGCCCTTCYGCATCTGACTCTGACATCTCTAGAGATCAAAAAACAGTTAAAATGGTGTTGAATTGTCCTGCATGTAAGATTACCCTGTTTGACAGAGATTTCCTTGGTTTCTTAATCTRCATTTCCCAAAAATACCTCCTCTGCACTCAAAAGGCTGAAAATTTCTCGCCTCCGGCTCGAGATTTTTTACGTTCATTTGCGTGTTCTCCCGCGGGGTCCAGAGGAGTGCGCGGGGTCTATTTCACCAGGAACGCTTGAAAATGTGTTGTTTATTGCTTAATTAATGGGAATATAAGGCCATAATCTAACTGCATGTATTCTAACGACAAATCATACCTGAACCTCTTCAAAACTAAATCCCTTGCAGCTCTGGAAACTTCATAAACATGCGCTACAAGGTTACACTGTATGTAGCATGTTTTATGCCATGTTACCGCTGGCAGCCATAATTATCTCGTACCTAGAGCCCGCGTAACTTTTGGTCTGTGACAAAGAACATTTTTTCGTCCATCTTGCGTAGTAAGAGGGACATGGGCGCTGGGTACGACGAGATTGAATCATTGTACCAGAGCACTGAGTCCTGGTGTTGCGAGAAATGGATAAAAAAAAAGACAGTAAAGCCATCAAGTTTTTATGACATTACTTTTTTGATAATGACCTTCCACGTGCACCCGCCGTATTATTTTTCTTCGGATATCAATAGGCCATTTGCATTATGTCGTAACTTTACTACAACTACCAGAGAGCCTTGCGCAATTCCATCAGAAGTTGGCAAAGCATTCTGGTAGTTGTAGTAAATGACGCCATAATGCAAATCGGCTATCGATAACTCCTTGAAATGCGGATTTGTGGGATGCGGGAGGTTTCATTTTGTGATACTCAAGTTCTAGTCTCGCATTCCTCTTCAGAATGCCAAGAACTATTTAAGTCTTATATTTCTTAAATATAGGTATTATTCTTTGTACAGGAACTACAAGATGGTCATATTGTTCTTGGAGAACCATCAACAGACAAGAAAATAAAAACCAGACGAAAACGAAGATGAAATTCTCGTCCATGATGAAACCCTTCGACGGCCACCGCGAGGAGGGATATAAACTTTTGCGAAGGGAAGCTGTAAAAGAATTTCAGCTTTTTCTCTATATATGCTTTATTGCAGAAAAAAAAACATCAGAAAAATAACATTTGCAAGTTCAAATCATAGTATCCAATTGTCCTATTATRTAGGTTTATTTTTACGACGTTCTATCAGTTAGTATACCAGTAAAATTCAAAGAGCATAAAAGTTTAACTACACAAATTATATGAATGAATCACGCTGTAAATACTGAAAATGAATAGTTTATTGGGTTAAGAGACACTTACAAATTATTTTTCAGTCAATCTAATAAAACTAGAAGTTCCTGCTGAGTTCGTTGTTCTGCAACTTTTTTGTTCGTTTGAATTTTTTTCCTCTTCTTCGCGTTTACAGATTGTGTGGTTGACGTCTCAAATTTCATTACTGCACTCACTACATGCTGCCTAGGATTCTACCATTTGCAACATTTGAACTGATTTGATCTTTGATAACATTTATTTATACAAAAAGTGTGAAAGTAATAAKAAGAAAAAAAGTTCATGGCAGGTTTTTCCTTCATGTCCTGTATGTACAGYAGTATAACACTGTAGTCGGTCTAACCAAACATGTCTTCTCTATCGGCGCCGACAGTCTCTACGTCTTCCATCGAGCTGAAGTTCAAGAAGTGCGAGGGCCGGTGAACCTCGTGGTAGAAGTCYTTAGGGTTGGATAGCTGAAGCTCGTATCGCATGTTGGCCGAGTGGCGTACACCTGGAGAAATAGAGCATGAGTCGTTTCATTGCGAAGCTTTTTAAAGCTTAAATTTAATTAAAGCTTAAATTTATAAAAATAAGGTATTCGTGAAACAAGCACAACAATAACATGAAAACATACTTTGGTTATACAAAACTCACCCATGAAGTTAAAGTTCCACGAGCCTTGAGCGGGAACCATAAAGAAACCAAGAAAGCGATCAGACAGAAGCATCTGTACTTTYTCATAGTGGGAGGGGAGGTAGCCACGGGGRTTGTTTCCAGTGTCCTTGTTGTTTCGACCCCAGTCATAGCCTGACGGTGTTAGTTTGTAGGCAGTTAGRGAACACGACCCTGGCGTGAAACTGCAATAAGAAATAATGTTAATTGTATTAAACCTTGACCAAATCGCAAGATCTTTGCCGCAGTACTGCATCATGTGACACTACAACTGAGTAAGATGCTTTTGCATTTCTCATCAAATTCTCACAATTGCCTCACTTCAGTATAAATCTTAACGCACTTTTATTTTTGTTGAAATTTTTGAACAGCTACAAGTATTTATTTTTTAGTTATTTATTTATTTTATTATTTTTATATAGTTGCATTTTGCAAACAAGGTTGACTGTTCAATTTGCACTCATTCTAGGTTTTGTGCGAGAGAATATCTGAAGAAAAAAAATTATCATCACTGCCTTTTTTTCGCTTGCTTTGAGAACTCGGTAGTTTAAGAACTACATGATAGGTAAAACTGATTTTACAGCCTTACCTGCATGTTATAATGACAGTTTTCTCTCCATCCCACGAAGGATTGTCTGCCATAATCTTTGCATGAGTTGTTACGTCTTGCGGAGCTAATTGAGGTAGTTCATTGGGTTGGGTGTGAATCCATCCGAGGGGTTCCATCTCCTAAAAGACAAATACATTAAAAAAAAACAGGGTTACATGAGAAGATATAGCCTTGGTTAGTATTAAACAATACTGATAACATACCTTTAAGTAATCATGCTGTGGAAGCATGTTGGGCAAGTGGACAGTCTGCAAACAAAGAAGGATAACATAATTTAGCATTATCGACAACCGACATGTGAGAGATACTTTAGAAAAGAGCTCTATCCAATAAATGCAAAGTAGAAATCTAGAGGTATAAAATTATGCGAGCTACTAAGTAGAATAAGGTAAATTCACTGGGAAATTTATTTCTTTTAAGTGGATGGCATCGTGTTATGKCCCAATATTAAAACTGCTGCGCCAATTAGTCACTAGACATGATTTTTGAGCAAAATACCTGATGAGTGCCCCATTGTGGTACCATGACGATGCATCGTATCTCTTTGACTTGTGGATTGTCCGGTGGACTAACACCATAAAGGTAGCCAGCAATCTAAAATATCAATGCTACGGGTTAGTCAGAACCAAAGAAACGCGCCCAGAACTCATACAGACAGAATCAAAGAGAAGATAAATGATTTCGCATGACTGGTTCTATAGTGACATTGGCGAACTTCGATTTTGTTTGCTATTTTACCATGATGCACTGCGACAAAACAGGCATGACGTCATTGGTATAAAGAACAATCAGTTTCTTCAGTCAAGTTTCTTTAAATGATTTCGCATGACTGGTTCTATAGTGACAGAGGCGAACTGAGCCGGACTGAGCCATGTTGTATTTCGATTTTGTTTGCTAGTTTACCATGATGCACTGCGCCAAAACAAGCATGACGTCATTGGTAGAAAGAACAATCACTTTCTTCAGTCAAGTTTCTTTAAGTTTCCTTAACACTCAAATCATCTCACAGTCAACAACTTTACCAAGTTTCTCACCTGTGTTCTAAGATCAGAGATGACAATAAACTTCTTAAGTACATTCTTAGGCAAGATGTAGGTAAATCCAGTCTCTTTGATATCATCGGATGATACATAGATATGGTTGGTACGAAGATGAAGATTGGTAGCTGAAATAGCCCTGACGCGCCATTCTGTCTTAGAAGAGAACGTTGATGTCTCGTAGTTACTGGTAGTTGATACGATGATCTCATCACCGTGTATGTTGGTGGTACGAGTGGTTGTGGCTGTCAACTGCGACTGTTCTTTGGTTTGTTTTTCAATCTCAGCGATTTGTTGTCGCTGTTGTGAAGGTGCTGAGATTTCCATACCAAGGATAATGTCACGGATCTCAGACTGGGTAAGCGAGGCGACGTTTACACTGAAATAAATCCAAATTGTCACAYAATATGCACTGGGAGTCACGCAATTTATCATACAAGTATACAATAGAAACAATCTCAATCTCAAAAGCAAAGTACTAATCACGTCCTACAGCAGTCGCGCAATGCATAAGTCATACAATTCAGTGTAACAGTAATCACAAAACTTTATATGTATGAAAAGACTATTCAAAATCGACCCTGGAGCTTCATCTGGGGGTCGAAAGGGATTCTGGTTCCCAAAAGAGCATAACCTTACAGACCCTGGGGCATCCGCGATCCTTTGCGCGAGTTTCTCAATATCGCCATGATATTTTTATTTTGACTCCAATACGAAAACAGCTAATCATTTTTAAAATAGAACGAACGATCGCAATGATTCTCGGCTGCAAGTGGCCCTTTAAGTTCTTGATAAGGTGAAACCATGAAAGGATTGCGCTCTTTGTATACAAACTAATAAAAGAAAGGTGCAACGTAAACTTACTTGTTTTTCTTGCCATAATCTGCCAAGATAAGATCCTTCAGCTGGACTTCAACGCTAACCCACTCTTCATCAGAAAGAGAAGGCCARATRTGATGAGGTTCAGTGATGATAGTCTTGTCTGGTTTAAGGATYACCTTGGTACGGTCAGCATTAACGTGAAGGGCTCGTAAGATAAGAATCAGACGAGAGAAGGCGGTGTACGATGAAATGGTCTTGAGCCAATCATCATACAAGTTGAATAAAACCATCTGTGGTTCTGTGGCTTTGAGAATCATGTCGCCCAGCTTCTCAACCTGAAAACAAAGTAACACCAGTGTAAGTACAAGTTGTGGATTTAAAAGACGCTGCGATAAGCTAAAAAGTTTCATTTTCACTTTTTAGATCTCCATTTAACAGCTAMGTGGGAAAGAGAGGATACCACGGTACAATAATCCTTCCCGTTTCACGATGGCTTTCAGCTGCTACACACCTGAGATCGCCCTTAATTATCCGCAATTAATAACAAAATTACAACTTTTATAATTTTGTAATCTGTACAATRTTTCTACGAAGTGCGACAAGGAAAGACAACCCGAAAAAATAAGCTGGGGTTTGACTTGGGCAAGTTAATATATAGAACTTGGTGTTTCTTGTCAAAGAGACAATACACTATCTTACAGTTCCCAGAGAATCTGGGCAACTAATCGAGCTTTTGGAACAAAGCTACATTGTAAAATAGAGGACGAGCTTACAGTGYTAGACAGCTTTTTTCATAAATTGGAAAATTAAGYTCAMCCTTTGTGTCGATTTTAGACTTGGCTTGACCTTTCAAGATGGGAGCTGAAAAATGGAGCATTGAWCACAATGCACGGGCAGATATTCAAATAATTGCCTTACCTTCAAACAGGCTTGGAAAGGTAGCTGTAATTCACTGCCTTTGATAACAATGTTGGGGAAGTCAAGAAGATGAACCTCAAGAGGATCAAGCATGCCCTTTCTTGTAACGATGATCTGTTTCGGTTGTTCTTCAACAGGAAGAGAACGAATCAAAGCAGCAACTTCCTCGGCTGTCTTCCACTTAGCAAGCTGAAGTTGAACAAAACAGCATTTTTATGCATCGCGCTRATAATAATATGTTGAACAATAAAGGCAAAATGTTTCACAACCACAACAGAGAATATACGTTTCAAGGTTTCAAGGGATTGTCAGTGCTTTTGTACCTGTCCTAAACGTTTCTGTCCAGCCCAKACTGAGGTGTGAATGATCTTGAGGAACAACTGACCAGTACGTGGATTGAAGATAAAAATAGCACCATTGATAGGCTTGGTCGTCAAGTTACCTTCAAAAGTCTGTAAAAAGATTATTCATTAGACGTCAATTWGCCAAACAATGATATAATGCACTTTTATCCAAGAGATTCTAGAAATTGCTTATCTAGAAATTGCTGTGTAGTGACAGGCATCGGTTTGCATAAGTACTAACAGAAAACCATTTATAACTGTAAACATTTGCTCAAAACGGCTTAACTTGAGCAAAGGTTTCTCTGGTGGATAGGGAATGTGCACCAACTATTTTGTACAACAAAGTATCAACGCATGCTTTTGTATCCGTTTAAACAGACCCTAAAAGCCGTTTCTGATGATACAAATACTTAAATTGTTTTGCAAAGAGCAAGCAAAAGCCGACTTTGGGGATCATTTTAGAAAACATGAAAAGTTTGAGAACTACAACTCCAATCATGCCTTGCTGTAGAAAACGGCATTCACCTCGATTGACTCAGTATTATTGAGTTTACCTTGTGGATAGTAACACGATAGACATTGGTATCGTCAACAAACCAGATGATTTGGTTGGAGAACAGTTCTCCGTAGTTCTGAGATGACAGRTAAGGTTCAGTAGGCTCACTCGAGTAAAGCTGAAGAGCTTTACGGATACGCTCTCKCAACACATACAACGCAGGGTTGGCTTTCATGATTTTAGCCATTGCTTGCTGGATTAGAGGTTTAATGCCAGGGAACCAGTTACCAAAKGCACTGAAACAAAACAGAGAATACGACTCAACATWAGAACAACAAGAAGGGGAATAGTCACGAAAGATAATTATTTGGGCACAGGACGAACTAAAATGGAATAAAATGAAAAAATGAATGGACAGATGAAAGAATGGATAAGGAGATATGTGCCGATGAATTTATTACTACTGAAAGCAATGACTGAATGAAATAAACATATATGAATTGAGGATGAATAAAAAGAATGGGAAAAATGAAAAGCAGATTCAAATGAAGATTGTAGAATAGAGCGAAAGTGAAACGAACAAAACTGAGAAACAAGAGAAATTACAAGGAAAATAAGCRTTAGCATCAAGCAAAATACCTGTGAAGATTGTAGGCAAGATCAATGGCAACGAGGACTCCAGTAGGGGAGGGGTAGATGCTCATGTTGTCTGTGGTATAATCCAGGAACTTAGCACGGGCATATCGCTCAATGTCATGAGAGTCATAATCACCCCATCGTAGCTGTACATCCACCCAGTACTTTTGACTTACAGAACCATCCATCATGTCACTAGTGATACAAAAACAAACTAATTAGAACACATAACTCTAGCTGACTTGATCGAAGGTGCAGCTTCCTTGCTGCTCAAGGGAATGTAGCTCCAGCTGAGGGACAAAACAATTTTAGATCCAATCTACTGAAGAAGAGAAGTCTTTAGGCCAATGCAGGATTTGAAAATATTATACTTTCTGATATTCATAACAAGACTGTTTTGCACCAGCTTACTTTGAATCTGCAAGTAACGATGGTTTGAAGATGTTCCACTTGTATGCAGCAAACAGCAGAATATCTGCACAGGAACTGTTCATCTTGTAAGATTTACGAGGATGAATTGTTTCTTTCTGGACTGTCTCTATTTCAAGGGCATCTAACTCTTGATCAAACACCTGAAATATGACAAATAAGTCATTGGTTGATATTATTCATAAATGATCTACAATATTAAATAAATTGATGCCATCCTTTGCATTGCTACACAATCATTCCAGACAAATATCACAGCATATAGTCAGCAATTAACTGCCATCAATCACAACATCCATTAGTATGTTATTTGGGCAGCTGTTAGACTAATAAAGCACTTTAACTGGTTAATGGCTATCTGTTGTTAACTATTCAACACAAACTTCTGTCTGGACCAGTCACATATGTACATGTAGCAACGCAAAATAAAAGCAATGTTAGCCTAAACTCACACTTCAAAAACTACATGTACTTTTCAAAGACTTCATTCAATAACAAATATCTTTTTGAAATATGCTCTGTTGCAACAACTACATCTTCTCAAATAAAGCCGAATCTTCTGAAAAACATCACAGAAAAGACTTGTCTTATAACTATAATTTAAAGACTTTGTGGCTGTTTTACCTGACAAAGATCCATGACAACACTTTCATGTACTTTCTGCCATAAATGAGCCCTGAATATCTGAATCAATGAGATCTTGAGTGTCGGGATTTTGCCATGCATGAAGATACCAGTCAAGTCAAGCTGTACTTGGAAGCCAACATAAACCTACAAAAATATCATCAAATGTCGATAAATTCATCCAAAATACGAAATCCAAGAATTAAAGGATTTGCCAACAAATGTTGTTAAACAGTATTCTAATGTTAAAGGACAAAATTTTCGAAAACATGTTTCAAATGCACAAAAAAAAAAAAACAGTCAGCAGAATCAAATTTGCTGTATAGTCTGTAGTGAACATTGACTCCATTTAGTCTTCATTTCTRTGCAAGGTGAATCCAATAAGTGAAATTTCGTTTGTCAAAACAGTGTAACCATAGTCCCTTTCAGTCGTGCATTCTCCCTTTGACAATCAAAGTTCTCCACGGCAACTCTTTTTAAAATAGGTGTAAATTAGAGTTTAATGAAGAGTAATGAGTCCTTACGTTAGCTCTGTTGATGGTTGGKGACCACCACAATGTAAATCTTCTGTTAGGAATCTGGTTCAAACCAGACCTCTGTGCATTGGTGAGTTTCTTGTACTTCATKGATTCCTCAAATCCACTGGCTTTCTCCCAAAACAAACCTTCCCATGTAGGGAAATAGGTTCCTTTGAATAAAGTGTGTTCCAAAATCCCTTCAACTCCACCAAGTGCCTGGATCATGTCSGTTCGGTAGTTGTTCAGATTCCATAGTTTACCATCATGACGCTGGTGGGTCCACCAGAACGGATTCTGTTTTAGAACCTGTATTAACCAAGAAATAAGTTCAAAAAATTAGCTTTTACAATATATCTAGAACTGGTAATTTATTATTTTATACTTGGTCTTCATTATTTGTTTTGAAGTTTGCCTTGTTTTTGCTTTCTGGGGAAGATTTATTCTTTATTTTTTGGTGTTGCTTTTTTTCTTTTGTTTCTTTTGAAGTTTTTGTGTTGTTTCACTTGTTGAATTCAAATATATTGCTTCTTATTTCGTTATTTCATAGTAGTGTCATAGTAGTTGGGGCAAATGTACKTCACTTGCCTGGTACTGCTTAAAGTCAGTTCGYACTCTCCAGCCCTTGTCATAGGCAAGAGTATGTCTGTCCTTCTGAAAGAGGGTGTTGATACGTGGGATACCACGATCCCAGGAATCTTCAAGGTCTTCGAGTGTTAAGCGCCTACAATAAGAATGAAAATAATAGATGATTCATGATACTTGGGATTCTGATTCAGAACWGATTACAATAACATGCTCTTTTTATACCTGTTTTGGGCATTGGCTTCTTGGCGCTTCAAAGCATACTCGGCCCAGACTCTTTGAGAATCAATGAATTCACTCTCCCATGGTTGAATGTATCTGYATTAGAAAAAAGTRAAACATTCAAAACAATTCCAGACATGGCCAAAATTGTCACTTAAYTTACATCACTTGTGAACTGACAAAAATGGATAAAAACACTCAAAACAATATTAAWCAAATTCTGATTGATTTATATCAATTTCTCTATGACATGTTAATGTACTATACCTRTACAAGTTAGGAATAAGTTGGTCTTCATCGTGGCTCATGCCAGACCGGAAGTGAGTGATTCCTACGTCTGTCTGTTGGGACCATCTACATTTTGTACCAAACGCAAAATAAATTACTGATTACTAGTTTTAAAATAAAACAACAATATTAACATTYCACAACCAAGAAACWATTGCCACATGRCAAATATCTTAACAGGTAGTTTTGGAWGCTGTAGGMGTCACAGAATTTAATAATAATTTTTAATTTTATCATGAAAGTGAATTTTGACCTGATATTCAAAGTTAAATCATAAATCTTTCAAGTAGAAAAGGCAAGACCAAACATGTAAAATAATACATTTTATCTTTTGAAACCTGATACATTTCCTTAAGAACATTACTGTTCAATATATTTATACATTAATCTTCATACATTGTACCTGAGATCTGACTGAGGGATAAGGACATGACCCATGGACAACATTCCCAGTCCTCCCAACTCTTTGGGTGTGTAGAACACTACAGGTGGAAAACGACTTGGCATTTTGGAATTCAGACCAATCTTGATACGTGTTTGAATCTAGGAGAACAAAAAAATCAATAATCTGTAAGTGAAGTTTACAAGCTGATGTTCACAAGCTAAATGGGTTTGTGGTGATAAAATAATCATTTTGATAGTTGATATTTCTCAAATAAATGTTATGTATCACCTTGTTTTCACATTTCACCAGTAAATCCAGAAGTTCTTGAGTGTTGACSACTGCTTCTCTAAAGTATGTCATAAGTCCAATCAATGCTGTGTTCCACTTGTTAACAATCTTAGTGAAGGTAGTCGAACCAGAAGCCATGAGGATCTGACGGACACGGTTATGAAATCGGCCTAGAGACTCATTGTCAACACGTAGGAAACACTGGGCAGTGCGCTCTTTTGTAACCTAGAATGACATTTGATTTGAATCTGATAAGGTTTACGTTAAGAAGTAGCAATAATAGGCTGCAGGTTTGACGACTGCATGAATCATCTGGTCAAGATGACAAAATTTCACCAATGTTTACCTCATTCTGTAGATTCCAAACTCCATCTCTGTGAGTAAACTCTTCAAAAGTGGTGCGACACTTTGGCAGTATTCGACATTCAAAGCCTCCCATATTGAACAACAAATTAGGRTTATCCTTACTATAAACTGACACAAAACTGTTCTCCCACATCAAGGTACTGACAGAGCGAGGTAAACGGTTCTTGATGTCCCAGAACACAGCACGTCCAAGATTGACATCATGTTTCATAAGACGCATGCGTGCATCACGCGGCCAGCATTTCTTGTTGTTGTAGCCTACAATGTTCTCGTTATTAGGATCAGGATGCTCTGTKAGATATCTYTGAATGAGATCACGAGCTTCTTCAGCAGTAAACCTAATATTTAAACATTATGACAGTTTTAGCAAAGATRCTTTCAATGGAAATTGCTMAAAGAAATCTTACAGTCATTATTTTTGTGTTTTACCTGAAGAATATGTGTGTTCTGTCAATGTATCTTGARTAGAGTCTGATTGGATGTTTGGCTTCTGTGTCTACATCTTGGAATGACAAGAAATCATTGGGCATTTGAGGTGGGCCTGCCATCTCACTTGATCTCTGTAGACCAAGAACYAAGAGATCCAACACCAAACCATAGTACTGTACAATGAACGATGCAAACTGAAGACCACGAATGATTCCATAGGAATTGGTATGRTTCATGTCCTGTCAAAAGATTAACATTAATCAAAAACACAGATAATAATAAAAAGGCCTAAAGCACATGCCCAGTCTAACTTACCTTGTAGTTGATGACAACATTGTTTTTTGCTGTCATGTAATCWGCAATGTTGTGATCCACAATCAAACGAAGCAGCCTGTTCAACAAGGTCAAGTCAATCTTCTCGTACAGCTTCTCATACTTAGATTCCATCATGACGTTRCATTCTCCCTCWGCAGTCTCCCAMACATCTTGTAGATTGTTGATACCTAAATGAAAACAGTTGCRCTGTTTGATATGGAAGTTGCATTTCAATGGAAGTATTGATCATTGCCTGTTGTGTTAACTATTGAAATTCAATCTTTAGAAGTACACAAAGTACCAACCTTGACACCATTTGTAGACAAGTAGAGGTGGTGGTTCAGTGTCAGCTGGTTTGATCCAGGGAGGAAACAGTCTTCGTTTATCTGCTTCATACCAYAGATACTGATCMAGGTAGGCATCAGTGATCTTCTCTAATGGCTCAACATCATAGACTGGGATGAGATGACTGTACAAGTCCATGAACTCAATACCAACCTAAATTTAAAGTAGGAAATCAGTAAACATCGGTCCTTTATATCTTAAATCTTAACTCAAATAGAAAAAAGACACTGAAAAAGAGGAGAGCAACACYGTCATGTCTCTGCTTCCTGATTTAAACACTGTGAGAGATATAAAGACCACAAAAGAAGCAAGCATTGAAACAGAAGAACCCATGCTTCTTTTTGGTCACTCCATCTCTTACATCATATCAAGATGGTTGCATAATAGAGAACAGAGACAAAAAGTAGTCAGTGTCTTACCTCTTTGAAGGCCCTCTGTGTAAGAAGATGACGTTTGATTCTGCTCAAAGCTTCATGAGGGTTATCATAAGCTTGTTCAATTAAACCAAGCTCCTCACGCTGTGACTGATTGAGACGGCTCTTTACACTATAAAAATATACAAAAATTACTTTAGTTGAATGGCAATTTATTTGATTAGCTTTCAAGTTATGATTCCCTGTGGTGGAAAGTATTTCTTGGTTTATCCAATGCAGTCACCTCTAAAGGAAACCTCCAAGACTGTATTAACATCAAGTATCATAATGATATCAAGTAAAAGAAACAGCAAACATCTGCTGTAAAGGGAGCTAATTTCAGAAATGYCTTTGAAGCAAAGATTGTGTCTGTAATAACAGTAGCGTCTGTAACACTGAGATGTCCACAATGAGTGAGTTTATTGCTCAATACAGCTTTTAGTAAACTAAGATTTRTCAGAATAGCCAACCTGTATGCTTCCTTCAGTCTCTCTAGAGCAAGGATAAGCAGCTTAGTGTCATGTTTGTATGAGAGAGGAGGGAAGGGAATGGGAGAGAATCGCCTGCTTTCAAGCCAATGGACTGTAGTTGTGTAGATTGCCACAGCCTCTTCAGCTGAGATGTAAGGACCATCCTAAAATTACAAAACAACAATATAAACTAGAGTGCAAATACATTATTGGTGATAGTCAAATACAAATAATTACAGTGAAATTACAATACTAATTCCATTGTTCTGTGTAATTGAATACTCCATTTTTGAAATTCAAAGCGAATAACCACTTTTATATTTGACAGCAGATTCACTTATGCAAAGACCTTACCAAACACAAAAGGGCTGCCACCAGAAAATGCTGTACGTACAATACTAGTAGCACTAACAATTTACATTTTCCCAAAGTTGAAACTAAGCCTCCCAGAAGGCTTAAACCTTAGGTCTTACGGGAATACTGGGGGAAAATGCAAATCTTTAAGGTTATTGTAATAATGACATTTTCTTGTGCTTTCTTGTGTTTGGTAAGGCCTTTGCGCAAGAGAATCTCTCGTCAAATAGAGCAGCAGTTTTTTTTGCTTTCAATTGGAAAAAGGAGTATGTGCACTTGATTTACAAAAGAGAGTTGAATTCCAATCTTCAGGTATCTTGTTGATTCRTCTAACATCAATTTTGCAAAAAATATTTCTGTCACTGGCAGAGAAAATGCACACCGTACCTTCAAGTAGTTATGCTGTCTTTCTTGCTCAGCCTTKAGGTACAATCTAGTTAATCTGCCCAAGTTCTTCTTACACACAGTCTTGTCAACTGTCGCTCCTCTGCGAATACGCTCTCTATTRTAGTGGGCTGTGTTAGTCCACCAATCAGCTTTAGCCTTCACATATCGAAGGATCATGTTCTCAATGGGGATTGGTAAGCCTGGTACCTAAAGCAGATAAGCCCCTCTATCAGTAAGGGTTTAGTGTAATATAAGGTGTCTTTTYAATCTACTGCTAAATGCAGAAATAAAAGGGAAGCAAGATGTGATGTCTTTTTTAAATCTTATGRTTACCTTCCAAGGGATATTAGCCTTCCAACACCTCCATGCTTCACTTAGATGCTGCAGGATAGTTCTAGCTTTGTTCTGCTTGATTCCCTCAGGCATCATGTCAAGAATGTCATGCATTACTGCGGCTCTCAACTCAAGGTCAAAGTGACTCTCCACACGTTGTTTAGTCACTGTCTTGGCGACTCCTTTGGAATGTCTGCCTTCAAACTGTCTTGCTAGAAGRTTTCCAAGCCATCTCTCAAGCAAGGGAACAATACCACGCAGGAAGAAYAGCCATACACGCCACCCTGGAGCCCAGAAACCACAACCAGGGCCTTTACCAACAGCTCCCTAGGAAAATATCAATAAATGTAACTAAATGAAATTTAGGCAAACATTGAATGCATGTAGAGATATGTTGATTTGCATATTACTGATTGAACAACCTATCTACGTAGATACAARTATAAACTTGAGTCTTTACATAGACAATCATGACAATCACATRTGTATGGCCAACTATAACAGATGGTGTTACAGTTCTACTGCATCACTGAAATACTTCATGTTTAAAAGASTCTATATTGAGTCTTGTCTGAAGGCATTATAGTACTTACAGTGTTAAATCTATAGTAGATGAGATGCTTCAAGTCCTTGCACATTCGAATCTGCCTCATCAACTTATACTTGTAACGGTACATGCCTGTCAACTGACCAACATGAGAAAACATGTACTGCAAACCATCTGCAAGCTAAATGGAYAAAGARACATTARAWTAAAGCWTTACAGCATGTCACAATGATACTGAGTACTTCATTACTTCAACATTAATAGACAAATGGCTTTCTCTTTTTTTKGTCTCACCTGAAAGCAATCAACATTRCCAAGTCTGTACTGCACATGTGAATCCACAATAAGTTTAGTCAGTCTAAGGATTTCACGGCAAAGATGGAAGGCGTTACCAAACCTAGACTTCTTACGCTCTTTGGTTGTCAATGTCTTGATGGGCTTCAAGTTGAAGTTATAATCAAGATGAAGGTAGTTGAGATTTTTACGATGAATTAACAGATTCAGCATGTTGTAGCCCTGACGGCACACTTGAAGACCAGCCTCTACCCAATCTAATGTTGTTGACTGAAAGAACTTGGTTGATTTGAATGACCGGAACAAATACCTAGAGAATGAACATGTGACATTTTAACCACTGATTTGAATTTACTGATTTTCGGCACACAACACCATAAGCTGCATGAGATACCATAGCTCAATTTAGTACTTTTTAGGACTTTAAATTTAGTTTTTAGAGAAGAATTTGTTTGAAATACACTTGGTGATAGTATCAGAAGTCTTACCTCTTTTTCTGTGCCTTTGGAGGTCTATGCTTCAGAGCATTCAGCACATAACACTTTAGAAGCTTCTGATAGGACACTCTCACCTTGACAGGATGCCCAGATGGACAGTGCTCTCTGTACCTGAACAACAATAAACATAAAACTTACAATTTAACTTAGACTGATACCCTAACATTCATCATGAAGGGAAATCCTCATGTCATTCTAACACAGCTGTGCTAACAAAAATCATTTTAGTTTGCAAAGAAGTTGATGAAGGCCTTACCAAGATTTCACTAAAGGAATATCTAAAGCTCGTCTGCATCTTCCAGATCTCAAGTTAAAAGGTCTTGGTGCCCATAACAAAGATATACCATTAGMAGTATTATCAGTGTACAGTGGTCTGTCTTGTAAAAATGGCTGGATTTCCTCTGGTAACTCAAAGCTATCATCATCATCAGGCAATGGTTCCTGGGCCTATACATATCAATGCAGTCAGTAGCACAATAAGTTTGAAAATATAATTTAGCAATGGACAAAATACTGTAATWCAGTGTGAGAGGAAACAAAATTTAAAGATTCATTCAAGGAAATGGACAATGCAATTACAATGTACTGTATTTCTACTGTCCAAAACCCAAATCATAATACATGCAAGTCTCTCAATTATATCTATTCACAAAAAAAACAATGGCAAGAACCCCTATCAAAAATCTAGGTGATGCGTAAAGGCAGTAACTAACAAAAATTATAACAATATAGATATTTTCTATGTTGACAAAGCTTAGATAACACTGTACAAGGAGAAGATCTCAATAAGACTAGAATGGAGAATAAGTACATTATGGTGTATGTTTAGGCCGAGTAATAAATACCTTGATRGCATGTCTGTGAGAGATTGGATTGATGAGAGGATCAAAGTAAAAAGCTGGTAAATCAGGATCTTCTGTCTTGATGTACACAGTACTAACACTATGGTACCTAAAGCACAWAAAATAATACTTCAAACCTCCACAGTAATAGGAAAACAACAAATCTAAATAGCAAAACTATAACAAAACAAAAGCCTTTTCTTCAGTTTCTTCAAGTTTTACCAAAAACGCATCTAGCATTCTGCATTTTTGAAAACACATCGGAGCATGAGTGCATGTATTTTTAAATCAGATATATTTTCCATACTCTTGCTACTTGTCAAGAGACCTCTATCAACCCATTGTAGTATACATGTGTACACATGACTCCATCTAGGCACAAAACATACATGTAGCTCAAAAGAGTTTTGTTTTGCCCTTCAGGTGAAGCTGCTGAGAATACACACAAGTAGTCTAGTTATAGAACATAATTTAGAAATAAAAAAGTTAAATGTTCAATGATTTAAGTTACAGCAGATATCAGGAGTGGTAAGCAGTTGTTGACTGGATTATCATCAGCAACTTTGAGAGCAGTGGAACCAGCTCCTGTCAATCTAGCCATCATCCCAAACCAGTATTCATGCACTAAAGAATACTGGCTCCAATTGTGGCAATACAATAATACATTGTAAAYAAATGAGCTTTCAATATCATACAAAAATGGATAGTGAAGTAAATAATACTACTGTCTAAAAACTAATCTAAAACTTTACCATGCCATTATACATGTACGTTATAATAAATTAGAATTAGCCAAAAATATACTCAATAAAAATGGCTGCACATTGTGCTTTCAACTAACCATGGCAGATGTACTTTGTAKGGCAAACTGTTGAATAGATAAGGGAAGGCRATTCTRTACTCTGTTCTCACTGGCTGACGGATAATAATCTTATTCACATCATTGAATTCATTCCAGTCTTCTTCATGTACTGTCACATCTCTCACTAAAGGTTCAAACTTTGGTCCACCAGGTATGCAAACATTTAGTGCTTTGGCTGTGAAAAATGCTTTCAAGTCAAACAGATAAAAGTAATTCTCATCAACCAAGTCTGTCAAAAGCTGGTTGCCAAGACGGTAAAGGGTAGCCATGATGGGGAGAGAGAGATTCCAACGTCTATATGATGTTCCATTTACGAACCTTAAAAGCAAAGAACAAAATTTTTAATGAAAGAATACATGTAAGTAAAACAAGTTGTGTTTAATTATAAGCTGGGTTAAAGTTTCATCCTTTGTTTGAGCTACTGTCCTTTCAGCTATTGCAAATGGTAGAAAGAATGTCAGTACAATGTACAATAGGATAGACTGATAAAATACATTTCCAATTGCCAAGTCACTTATGAARATATTCACTTCYTGTTCRTGAAAAAATGGTCTTGAATGTYAGTGTTTTAGYGMAAAAATGAAAAGTGAATTTTTAAAATTCTGTATAGAGATTGTTCCACATGCAGAAACTGAATATAATAATATCAAGACAAGTGACAATTGGGACATTGGAAATGTCTTTTTGGGTAGAAACCTTTTCAGAATARGCTGTAAGTAAAGACTTACTGTGATTCTGCAAGAGGTTTATGGTCATAGAACCATTCATAGACTTCACCATCTTCTTGAGGATCTAATTCTAACTGTATAGATTCTAATGGTTCTACATCAAGAATATTGTCAGCGTAGTCTAACGGAGGTTCTTCATCATCAAACGGTGGAAATCTCATCCTCTTGAAATGACGACGATCTCTTTTTTCACGACGCATCATGATCCACATTGTTCTAAAAGAAACAGATTCTTTTTTAAAAATARAATTTACTTTCCATGTTGATTTTGCATGCATTTGGATCTACCTTGAATGAGACAGACTGCTTTAAGGACAAGTGCAAAGAGAAGTATTTGGCTACTTATATGTACAGCCCAAAAAAGGATTCTCCATTTTTAATACAACATCAATTAATCAAACCTACCCCCACTGTGCCATGTAGATTGGCTCCACAACCCAAGGAATCTCATTAACAAATGTTATAGCACCTGTGATGTGATATAACACTTTGACATCACGAATTTGTTCCCATGGCATAGGCATGTTCTCCAACAGTTTGAGCACAGCATGGGGCATATACTTTAAAGCTCTAAAAAYACAATACAACATTTCTGAATAATAATGCTAGAGTTACTGTGTACTAAATAAACTAAGTCTCCAAGGTTGGGATATTGTTTCCTGGCCCAAGCTGTTTAAACCCCATTAAATTCTAGGGTAATTTCTATAGCTTTTTTACCCTGCAAGCAGAGGATTTTTCCATCCCCTTCTACTATTTAAGA